CTGGTCTAGCCATATTTGTAAGGTAGAATTTGGATCATGATAGTGGGGTAATGAAGCATTTAAGAAGTAGAGGAAAGTTGTATGTTTCTTTTTTTCTTCATTTTTTTTAAAAATCATTTTATTGGGAACTCGTAAAGCTCATCACAATCCATACATACATCCATTGTGTCAAGCACATTTGTACATATGTTGCCATCATTGTTTTCAAAGCATTTTCTTTCTACTTGAGCCCTTGTTATCAGAAAGTTGTATGTTTCATTGTTGCTACCCTGCACCTTGACTGGCTCCTCTTCTCCCCGTGACCCTTCATTAAGGGGGTGTCCAGTTGCCTACAGATGGGCTTTGGGTCTCCACTCTGCACTCACCCTTATTCACAATGATAGGATTTTTTGTTCTTTTGATACCTGATCTCTTCGACAGCTCGTGATCGCACAGGCTGGTGTGCTTCTTCCATGTGGGCTTTATTGCTTCTGAGCTAGATGGCCACTTGTTTATCTTCAATTTTTTAAAACCCCAGACGATATGTCTTTTGATAGCTGGGCACCATTAGCTTTCTTCACCACATTTGCTTATGCACACATTTGTCTTAATTGATCATATCGGGAAAGTGGGCACCCACTGACGTGATTTTTCATTCTTTGATGTCTGATATTTGGTCCCTTCTACTCCTCATGGTCACACAGGCTGGTGTGCTTCTTTCGTGTGGGCTTTGTTGTTTCTGAGCTAGATGGCTGCTTGTTTATCTGCAAGCTGTTAAGACTTCAGATGCTATATCTTTTGATAGCCAGGCACCATCAGCTTTCCACTTACTTTTTTTTTTTTAAGGCAGTGTTAGGGGCAGCAGGCTTAGGGACCTGGAGCTTAGGTTAGGGGTAATGGGATGATTTGGAAGCATACTGGTAATGGTTGAACAAAGTGATAAACATATAACTAATGCCAGTCAGTTGTTCAGGTGAAGCACGCTATGCAAAAACATAGCTTGACTCTTGTTTTTTAATTGTTCTCATGAACTATCCTAATGTTGAATTATTATTTTAAAGCTCTGATATTAAAATATCCATAATTATAATATTTGCTTAACCTTTTGCTTTTCAGGGATGGAGAAAGACATCGTAGTCATAAAAGAAGAAAACAGAAAATATAAAAATAAAGTGTTTGTGCATATACTGATTATGCTTACACCATGGTAACCGAGATGCTGAAATATTCATTGTCATTGCTATGAGTACAGGATGTATTGAGTGCTCACATTGTTATTTTCCAGTCAATACTTATGCCTCCGACCATGAATATCCTATATGCCCCTAAAACTTTGTTTTCCTTATTTTAATAGGTGATTGGCTTCCTGTTACTGATTTTTTCATTCCTTTTCATAGTTTATGTATTGTAGATTAGCAGCCAGATTGTTGTGAGAAAACATCAAACCTTGCTTACAGAGCTATGGCACCCTTGGAAACCCGTCTATAATTTACATATCCACCCCCATAGCTACTGCTCTGTAACCACTGTCTTGGTAGATTATAGTGGAGAAAATCCACGTAAATATCTACCAGAAGGGGAATGGCCTGGCTGAATCAACTGTAATATAGCCATAAAATAGACTACTACATTGAACTTAAAAGAAATAATCTAGATCTGTATTAGCATGAAGGAGTTCTAGTAATATAGTAGATGAATGCTTGATTGCTAACTGAAAAGGTGGCACTTTGATTCCACCAACTGCTTCAAGGCTGAAAAATTGGCAGCCTGCTTCTGGAACGATTACAGCCTTAACCTTTTGTAGCACTACTTTCTTATAGGGTCACTGAGTTGAAATCCACTTGATGGCAAAGGATAGATTTAACTTTTATATGGGTTTTAGGGTTTATGTGAACATGTGTGGAACTCAGAAACAAAGTGAAAATGCCAAGTTGTAGGAAGATATGTGTAATTTATATCAATAAAAATATTGCAGCTTTTTGTGATTATAAATGTATGTAAGTAATTTTAAAGGTCCAGAAGAATTTACAGAACCATCATAACTACTGTATATACTCGAGTATAAGCCAACCCGATTATCAGCTGAGGCACCTAATTTTGCCACAAAAACAGCATTAAAAATGTGCTGGAAAAACTCGGCTTATACACAAGTACATATGGTAGTTAGTTGAGGGATGGATTTCAGGTTGAAGAGATTAAGGGTGGGGACAGGAATTGGTATGGTGGTCAAAGAGAACTTTAGCTGTATCCATAATAAATTAATTAAAAATATATATGTATTCATGTTTTGTCTGTATTTAAAATATACTGCCCTTTAAAATCAACTTTGTTGGATATTATTTACATGCAAAAAAATGCACCCATATTAAATGTATAATTTTCTGTTTTGACAAGTATATACCCCATTTACCATCATTACCGTTGTCAACATATAGAATATTTTCATCAGACCCAAAAGTTCCCTTATGTCCCTTTCCCCAATCAGTGCCTCTAATTGCAATTTCAGGCAACTATAGATAAGGCTTAAAAATATGGTGGCATTAATTTTTTTTTGGCAGTGTATGCAATCTAAGGCCCCTCTTTCCACACATATGTTTTTTGTCACTGTTGATTGGATTGATCTTTTCTAGAATTCATGTAAATGGAGTGATGCAGTATGTTCTCTGCCTTCTTCCACTCAGCATGTTGTATGTTTCAGTAGTATTTGTGCTGTAAATGGCATATTCTATTGCATGATTGTGTTAGACAGGTTTCTCTAGAGAGATAAAACCAGATTGCTGATAATTTTATATATATATTTATGAAGATAGACAGATGTATAACACAAGAAATGAACTGCTAAATTATAAACAGATATATAACACAAGTAATGAACTGTTGTATTAAGAAATGAACAGTTAAATTATAAAGCAGTACAAATGGCTCAGTGTAACTCACTCCTGTGAAGAGAGTTGTGAGACACTAGCAGTCCTTCAAGTCTTGAGGGCCGTCTGGTAGTCCTCTGTAGAGAGAGAGAGAGCTAGGCTATCCCACCACAGGGAGCAAAACAGCCAGACAGGTCATCAACTGTCACCCAGGTCACCAACTGTCAGTCCTCAGCTCCAGAGATGTAAATTTCAATCCTGTGGTCTTAAAGGGACCTCAACTTACAGCGACACAGTCCACAGGCTAGGCATCCCACAGGTAGTGTAGCCTGTAAATTGAGGCACAGAACAAGCAAGGCAGCCACACACTGGTCCGATGATCAAAGAGCGAGAGACAAGAAAGACGAGGCTCGCCGAGGCATTTATCTCACTGCCCTTCAGTTAATCCCACTTGTGTTTATCGGCCAGGCTGGCACAATAAACTGTCTCAATGGTCTTTCAGGGAAACTTTGGCATTCAGTATTAGCACCTCATATCCAATTGGCTGTATCATGATCTTTGGTCTTGTAAACTTGGGCTAAAAATTGCACTGTGGATTTCAAATAGAAATGAAGCCTGCATTATTTGTGACAGAAAGATTGGTTGAATTCTCATTTTCATACAGTTTTTATAGTTTTATTTTTAATTATTTCACTAATTTTACTAACTGGAAGAAAAAGTAAACAGCAAAATTAAATGGTATACTTAGGTTTTTAGTAGAAGAGAAAAATTTGTTGGAAAGAAAATTTAACCAGAATTCATTAAAACCTAAATTTGAAGTATGGCATCAACTAAACTAATACAGTGTAGAATTGGGTGTAATGATTCATTTATCTGATCCTGGAAAGTTATGTGTTTTTTTTAAATCATTTTATTGAGGGCTTGTGTAACTCTTATCAGAATCCATAAAAGCATCCATTGTGTCATGCGCATTTGTGCATTTGTTTCCCTCATCACTCTCAAAACATTTGCTTTCTACTTGAGCCCTTGGTATCAGCTCCTTATTTTTCCCCTCCCTTCCCCCCTATGAACTCTTGATAATTTATAAATTATTATTATACTCTCCGACATCTTCCTTCACCCACTTTTCTGTTGTCCGTCCCCCAGGGAGGGAGTTATATGTAGATCCTTGTAATCGGTTCCCTTCCTGGAAGTTTTATTCCTCTAAACTTATCTATGTTTCAGACTCCTTTACTGGTTATAAACTACTTGAGAACAATGTTTATATCTTCTTTAATTTAATGAAACCATAACTAATTTGTCATTTTAAATTTTAACAAAAGAAAATTCTTTGTTAAAGCCTAGTCAGGAAATGTTGAATTTTGATTTGTAAAGAAAGGGCTGTCTTGGTTTTTGGAGTTGGTTAGTGATTACTACTGTTTGCACTACCTATCCATTTAGGCCAACCTCAACTGACTTCCTCTTTAACATTTCTAATTCATTAGTGCTGTTAAATTGATTCCAACTCATGAAAGCTTCATGTGTTACAGAGAACTGCTCCATATGGTTTTCTTACCTATATTCTGGCTATAAATGATTTTCTCCTGAACTAACAGTGTTGAATAGTTAACCTTGAGTGTTTTTGGTCAAACTTTGTTACCAGAGTTTGTATTAAACTTATTTCTCTTGACTCTCAGTGGTATAAACATTACTATCCCTGCTACAGAGATGAAGAACTTGTGGGACAACTAGCTCAATAGCTTGTCCTCGTGAAAATGTTGGCACCAGACTTCATACCCATGCTGTCTTGCTCCTGCGTCCACAGTTTTCTTTTTCCACACAGTTTTTAGTTACTTAGATGTAACTACTGTCCCCAACCAGCTTATATATATATATATATAAAAATCTCTTTAAAGTTAAGGTGCATGATAATCTTTGAAACCCAACTATGCTTAGTATAGTATGTGATAAATGCTTATAGATCGGGATATTTATGCATAGAAAAGCTGTTATGCCCCCAGCATATAAAAAATTCCCCCAGAATTGGAACTCAAACACCTGTCCTTAACCACTGTATCTATGTTCCCTATTACTGGATTCATATGATAGTCTGCCATCTCACGGCAGTTTCTCATACATAATCAAGAATTCTCTGAACTCTAGATAACAGTTCAATGAAGAGTCCCAGAGGATTCTCAACTACTGTGGAAGTCAAAATCGACTTAGAAAAGCTAGAAAGGGACAAGGGAGAATAAAACATGGAAGGATAAGTAGGTTCTGGTTTGGTGACTTTAACAGTGACCCCTATTCGTAGCCCAGCGCTATTTTCAGTAATTATCTGCCCTGAGGTCACCTTTAACCCTTAAGCCAAAAATAGTCCCTTTAAGTCTTAAAACCAACTGTAGTAACATTGTGAATTACTTGGTATGACCCTTCAAACTATAATCTTTGGAACTTACCACATGACTGGTTAGTTCTATGCAAAAGTGAGGTGCTTGTGGCCCACCAAGGGGATTGGATAGTTTGCTAGTTATTTAAATAAGGGATTTAGCATGCTTGGGATGGGATAAGGTAGGGAATATGGAACCGAAATGAAGGGACTGGTTTGTTTTGCCAGCCCTCTAGGCTTAAATGAACCATCCCAGAGGCAGAAAAGGGTAGCATCTACCATTAGAAAAGAATAGAATGATGCATATACTTTGATCCCAAGATCTCTGTGCTGAACTTCCTTAATCTAGGAGGCAGCTGTGCCACCAGAGATGCAGATTAGTGTCAAGAGCCATTGTTGACAAGTGGCATGAGCCATTGTTGGGCTTCCCAGCCCACAGAGTGGAAAAGCGTAGTGCCTTCAGGCAAGAGGCTTGGTAAAGGAGTAGGTTGCTACCTGATCACTTGTGTGGGTTTAGATGCCAACCCATGGGACTCGAGCTGAGGATCTCTGGACTGATGTTTACTGGTAGATTAGGGTGCCTTTGAATGTTTATCATCAGAGCTGAAAGCTGTGTGACTTTCCTAGCCAGGGCAGAAGCACAACGAGAGGCATGTCTGGAGGCTTGGCTAAGAAGAGGTCCTGACTGAAGAACTACCGTGTGCATTTCTGGTTTTGAATTGTAACCTGTTAACTTTCCTAATGAACACCATAGTTGTATTTATCTGTGAATTCTCTGTGGCCATTTGTTGCAACAGATTATCAAACCCAGCAGAAAGAGTACTTTGAGAAGGGCAGTTGGTAAAATTGGTTGACGGGTAGAGCCGTGTCTGATCTCTGCCTCAAGGGAATATGTCTTGGCTGTTGGTTTTGATTCTTTCTCCCCTTGATATATTCGAGGAAGATAGATACTCCCCCCGCACTATTTTTGCAATAGTTTTGCTTAACTAATAAACATGCTTGCCGTAAGCAATGTAAAAAGGGCACGGGAGTGTCATCTGACTTCACAAGGGGGAAAAGATTCAAATTCCACATCAGTCCAAGGTCAATTCCTATGAGGCAGAGGCCAGGCATGCCTACATCCTCCAGCCTTCCTACCAATTCTGACATCAGTCATCCCTCACGGCACCCTGCATT